GGGAGAGGGAGAAGCAGGCTTCCCGTGGAGCAGGGAGCCCGATGCGGGGCTCGATCCCAGGACCCTGGGATCATGATCTGAGCTGAATGCAGACGCTTAACGACTGAGCCACCCAGGCACCCCTCTTTCTCATATTTGTGGTAACAGATTATGTAAACTTTATTTGATTTTAGGCTATTTAGTAACATTTACACTGAGGATGAAATGATTATAAGACTTTCACTTTAAGGCAAAAAAACCCTTAAGATGTCATATGGTTGCAGACAGCCTCTCCTCTCCTGTCCTGCCTGCTGCTCTCTTGCAGTGTATTCAATAAACTTCTGTATCCTTAGGGAAAAAAAAAGTCATATGGCTATGGCTTTTTCTTTAAATCTATAAATTGCAATTTTACATGAGCTTTAAATGGCAAATCCTGCAAATATGCTTGTAAGTTTATATATAAGTGTCGTTGTGATAATTTTGAAATACTAAAGGAAGTTAGCCACTGCTATGTAGTATAAAAAAATTTGTCACTCTTGATTTGATCATGTCCAACAGACATTTGTTGCACACTTTCTAAATTGTGTCCTTGGGAATGTAAAAGAAAACAGTCCCTGTATACACGTTGCCCAGAGCCAATTGAGGATTCACTTAGAAAAGGAAATCCTAAGACTACAAATAGCCTTTTGAAGATACAATTTTGAAAGTCTTTATAATCCCTATTTCTAAAGCTTTTATAGAATTAGTCTCAGTAAAATGGCTGATGGCCTGTACTGGGTTTCTTTGTTGTTCATCCCACTAATAATAAAAACAGTAGGGATGCGGTGGAAAATTGGAGAGGGTATTTTTCTAGAAGGTGAAAAAAAAAGTTCAGTGCTGAAATCTGATTTTATTGGTTAACTCTTTCAGGGCAGTTATTGCTCCTTACATACTCATACTGTAGATTTAATGTAGCTTTTTATTTTTATTTTTTTAATATTTATTTATTTATTTTGGGGAGGGAGGGAGAGAGTGAGTGAGTGAGCTTGCGCAAGTGCACCTGAGTGTGAGCCAGGGGAATGACAGAGGAAGAGGGGTAGAGAGAATCTCCAGCAGACTTCCAGGTGAGCACAGAGTCCTGCGAGGGGCTCCATCTCGTGACCCTGAGATCATGACTGGAGCTGAAATCAAGAGTTAGATGCTTAACTGACTGAGACACCCAGGCACTTGTTTATGTAGCTTTTTAAAATTGTAGTTGACACAATGTTAAATTAATTTCCGGTATACAACAGTACTGATTGGACTTCTCTACTTGCTGTTCTTACTGCAAGTGTAGCTACCATCTGTCACCATACAACCCTATTACAACACCACTGACTATATTTCCTAGGCTGTACCTTTCATCTGTATGACTTACTCATTCCATAACTGGAAGCCTATACCTTCCAATGTAGCTTTCTTAAATTACATATTACAGTTCAGTTGAATATTCAGATATTTTTTAGGTAATCAGAAGACTGAATAGTTACCTTTTCCATTTTTCTGTAACTTCCTATGGTATTTTATGGTGTCATTATATTACGTAATTTCTGACACACCAAGACACATTTTTCTGTGGTAGATTGTTACATTGCATTACAATCTAAAGGTTGTCTAGGCAGGTTTTTCTAAGTCTGTATAGATTTGTGTACACATATTTTCTTTGCAAAAATTGACAGTGAAACTGCAAGACTATTTAAACTGGCATCTCTTGGGCGCCTGGGTGGCTCAGTTGGTTGGGCGACTGCCTTTGGCTCGGGTCATGATCCTGGAGTCCTGGGATCGAGTTCCGCATCGAGTCTGCATCGGACTCCCTGCTCAGTGGGGAGTCTGCTGCTCCCTCTGACCCAACCCCCTCTCATGCTCTCTCTCATTCTCTCTTCTCTCAAATAAATAAATAAAATCTTAAAAAAAAATAAACTGGCATATCTTCATCTCATTAGTATGTAATAAGGCTAAAGGCAAATCATGACTCCCACTTTTTTTTGTTAAAGATTTAATTTTTTTTTTTTTTTTAATAATCTCTATACCCAGTGTGGGGCTCAAATTCACAACCCCAAGATTAAGAGTTCCATGCTCTACTGACTGAGCTAGGCTGGTGCTCCTCGTGACTGCCACTTTTTAAAAAATTTTATTTATTTGAGAGAGAGAGTGTGTGTGTGCACATGCTCTGGCAGGGGGCGGAGGGAGAGGGACAAGCAGACTCCACACTGAGGGCAGAGCCCAACATGGGGCTCCATCCCATGACCCTGAGATCATGACCTGAGCCGAAAGTCGGCTCTTTAACCAGCTGAGCCATCCAGGTGCCCCATGACTCCCACTTTTAATTAGTTGTGTTTTTTGATTATTTGGATCAGTTTGCCAAGGCATTTAGAAACTGTAGTTTTACTAATTTTATTTTTGGTAATATTTTTGTAATGTTCACTTTTTCCCAAATAGAGTAGAGGTCAGAAGGATATTTGTCACCCTCTCTCCCACCCAGATATCCCTGGTTTAATGTATGTAATTTTTAAATTTTTATTTATTTTTTATTTTTTAAAGATTTTATTTATTTGAGACAGAGAGCAAGCGAGTACATGAGCAGGTGGAGGGGCAGAGGGAGAGGGTGAAGCAGACTCCTCGCTGAACAGGGAGACCAATGTGGGGCTTAATCCCAGGACCCTGGGATTGTGACCTGAGCTGAAGGCAGACATTTAACTGTTAGCTGAGCCACCCAAGTGCCCCTAATGTATGTAATTTTATAAAATAATATCTTTCTGCCCTCTAGACTGTAAATCCTGTAAGAGCAAGGATACCTGCTTTTGTACATCATCCTCTCTCCAACTTTCCACATGGTGTTAGGCACATTTTAGGAGTTACCAGTTTCATGGAATGGAAGTTTTAGAATTGGGTGTTTTGCAATTTAAGTCACTAAACATGTATTCACTTAATACAAGATTAGAGCTCATTTCCAACTCCTTTTTTTTCTGATGAATTTTTCAGTGTATTTTTTTTTTTTTTACAATATTAGCTAAAACAATAGAATATATTGGGGGGTGTTTTTTGGTCATCAATTTAAATGCTAGACTTGTGGGGCAC